TGGTATATGATTCGGATTACAACTTGCATTACTAACAATTAACGATGCCAACTTCAAGCTATTTCAAATTTAACATTATGAAAAATGATTTAAATATTAAGTATTAAATTTATTTTATCATGTACATGTTTGATTAAGTTTTCAATCAGTTGCGGCTTATAGAACTAATTGATTTGCATTTTATAACTGGCTATAAGTTGTTCGTTTATTCTAAAATATAAGAAATACGATATATTTATATTTGCAGAACTAACGTTTTATTTATATCTCACATATCAAAGTATTGTAAATGTTACATTGTAACAAAGTACTTATTAACTTCCCGCAGGGTAGGTTATGGGGTAATTTTCCAAAAATTCTAAATTAAAATGTTTGCATATCTTTACGTTTCAAAGATTTTTAAACATTTTAAAAACAGCATACATTAGAAAAAATGGATGTAGTATGTATGTACGTATGGACACAATTTTTCGTCGACGTTTCCGAGAGCATCGCTCAACCGATTGAATGACAAATACAAGCAATTTCAAATCTAACTTTTAAAAAATATTTAAAATCAATAAAAATTAAATTTTTTTATCATATAAATATTTGATATTAAGTAGAACTAATTGATTTGCATTTTATAACTGGTTAGAAAATGATTAGTTGTTCGATTGATTCTAAAATATAATAAATACAATATATTTATTATTCAGAACTAACGTATATTCTCACATTAAGTATTGTAAATATTACATTTTAACAAATTATTTATTAACTTCCCGCAGGGTAAGTTAATAATAATTTTCCAAAAATTCAAAATTAAAATGTTTGCATATCTTTACGTTTCAAAGGTTTTGAACATTTTGGGCATGCCTTAGAAAAAATGGATGCAGTACGTATGTATGTATAAACATAATTTTTCGTCGGCGTTTTCGAGAGCACCGCTCAACCGATTTGAATGATTCGAAAAGCATGCGATTCCTTTTGATAAGGAGACGTGCTGATTAGTTTGCTGAGCAAAGAGTGCAAAAATGAAAATGTGTTTTTGAAATAACGGAGCTCCGATTTGAATGATTCAAATAACGTTTTACTTGTATTGACGTAATGAAGAATTGAATAAGATTTTGCAAAGACAGGTCCAGCGGTTTCGAAATACAGAAAAAAAACTTAAAAAATGCATTTGGCAATCGAAAATAAAATATTTTGTAATTTAAACCAACCGATATAAATGGCTATCAAGAAATTTCAAAATTTTAAAAACAAAAACAAATCAATCAAATAACTTTAGTTTTCAAAAAATTCTAAAAAAAAAATAATTTTTTCTTTCTGAGCCTTTAA